GAGAACATTGGATAGGAAGTCTGGCCTTCTAACTCAACACAGAGATAGCCAAAAATAGTTATTCCAATAGTACTGAGTACAGGTATCAAGGTGTTAGCAGCAGGGGTGGGGATGCATCATGGGTAGTCTTGGTGAAAAATGACCCATGCCAGACAGAACTGATTCCAGAGGGCTCCAACAGCCTTAGCAGAGCATGAATACAGGTAAGATGGTGGTGCCTTGGTGAAAATGTATTTAAGAAGGGAAGAAAAAAAATAATGTTACATGGGCAGAGCAAGGAGACAAAAAGAAAAACAGCAGAGGCAACACAGAAGTAAAAGAACAAGAAAGTGCTCCATGGCACTGGAGACAATATCCACACTCTGGAGGACCCCACGGTGAAGCAGATGGACATTTCCTGAAGCAACTGTGACCTGTGGAGAAAGCCTGCACTGGAGCAGCTGAATATTATCAGAAGGACTGAGAGAGCCCATGATGGAACACAGGAAATGTGTGAAAAGGGAAAAGTTGCAGTGAAGAAATGTTATGGACTGACAATATGTATCCCCCCATTCACTATGTTGCCTGGGGGTGGGGTTAGAGGAATCAGGAATGAAGTTAAACATGGGAAAGCAGGGAGGAGAGATGTTGCTCCAAAATTGTCTTTGTTCCTCACTACCCAAATATATTTTTATTGGCAATAAAATATTGGCATTTTCTCTGAGGTAAGTATGGTTTGCCTATGATGACGATTGGTAAGTGATCTCCCTGTCCTTATCTTTACCTGAAAGCTTTCTCAACCTATTTTTGCCCATCTGGCTTGCCAAGGAGATGGGTGGCTATGTGACTGTTAACTAAGGCTAACATACCATAGCTTTGCATAAGTAACTTCCAGTTCCTAGCATCCCCTTTCTCCTTTCCTTGTTGTACAATGCCTAAACTTAGATGGAATCTGTAAAGAATTACAAAAACAGAAATAAACAAACAAAAAATAAATAGAAATAATAGCAATAAAAATAATTAATAATGATAATAATAATAATGCATTGCTGTTCCTCTGTTAAAAGAACAAGGCAGATATGTATAAATGGGAAATAATGTCCTGCAGCATTTCTCAGTGCTCTTTCACTGTTCCTCAGGAGAAGAAAAAAACAATCTCAAGTAAAAGAAAAGTAAAAGCTGCTTTGAAAAGGCACTTAAAATAGTACTATTTTAAAAGTTAAAATTTAATGATAACTTTTTTGTCACCTATCATAGATCAATAATAGTTTGTGATACTTGATATAAATAACAGCAGCAGGTAGAAATATAAAGGTCACTGAAACATATCATTGCAGATGTGATGATCAATAAAGGTCAGAACTCCCTTCTCCTTAGTTCCTCAGTGGCCCCATGTGAATGACCTGCTTCCCTGTGTGTGCAAATTTGACACGTAACTCAGTGTACTGCTCTGATGTTCTACCATTTAAAGTCAGTCTGAATAAAAGTAAAGGGATGGTCTTTTTGCTGTGAAAGGTGCAGTTAAAAAGAACAGAGACACAGGTAATATTCTTTTTTCATTTGAAAATATTCTACATGTAACACACACATTCAAGTGAGCATTTATTAACTAAGAATCAGAGTCATAGAATCTCTTGGGTTGGAAGGGAACTTAAAGATCACGCAGTTCCAAAACCCCTGACAGGGGTGCCACCCACTAGATCAGTTGGCTCAGGGCCTCATCTAACCTGGTCTTGAACAGGTGCTGGGCATCCACAGCTTCTTGAGGCAACCTTTTCCAGTGCCTCACCACCCTCTGAGTGCAGAATTTCTTCCTAACACCTAAGCTAAATCCCCCTTCTTCCAATTTAAAACTATTTCCCCTTGTCCTGTCATTATCTGCCCATATAAGAAGTCACTCTACATCTCTTTTACAGGTCCAGTTCAAGGTCACAATGAGGTCTCCCTAGAGCTGCCTTCTCTTCTCCATGCTGAAAATTTCCAAGCTTTCTCAGCCTTTCTTCATAGAAGAAGTTTTCCAGCCCTCTGGTCAATTTATGGGGCCTCCTCTAGACCCATTCTATCAGATCAACAGACTTCTTGTTCCCTGGGTACCTGACCTGGATGCAATACTCCAAGTGAGACCTCACAAGAGGGGGAAAATGACTTCCTCGACCTGCTGGCCATGGCTCTTTTGATGCAGCCCAGGATACAGATAACCTTCTGGGCTGCAAGCACATAATGATGACTACGCGATGTCATGGTAGGTATATGACAGCCTTACAGAAGTCTGGGTAAATGACATCGGACAATCTTCCTTTGTCAACTGATGCAGTCACTCTATCATAGAAGGCCACCAGATTGGACAGACACAAGTTGCTGTTGATGAAGCCACGCTAACTGTCTTAGATCACATGCTTGTCTTGAATGTGTTTTAACACTGCTTCCATAAGGATGTGTTCTATGATCTTCCCAGGCACAGAGGTGAGGCTCACTGGTCTGAAGTTCCCAAGGTCCTCCTTTCTACCCTTTTCAAAAATGGAAGTGATGTTTCCCTTTTCCCAGTCACCAGGGACTTGGCCTGACTGCCAGCACTTTTCAAATAGGATGGAGAGTGACTTAATGATTACATCAGCCAGTTCTCTTAGGACCCTGGGATATGTGTCATCAGGTCCCATAGACTTGTAGTTGTTAAGCTGTGTCAGGAGTTCTGACAGCTCTTTGCTTAGAGTGGGAGAGACTTTGCTACCCTCATATACAGTTTCAGGGAAATAAGAGACATAGGAAGCCTGACTGCCAGTGAAGACTGAGGCAAAGAAGTTGTTGAGTACCTCAGCCTTATCCATATCCATTGTTACCAGTTGTCCCTTCTCATTTATCAGAGATCTTGTCTCTGCTAGTTTGTTGCATGGATCATACATTATTGAAGCTGTATTCCTTTAGAGTAAGAGTTATTAAAGTGGCTTTGTCCGTTTGATCTACTCTGGAACATTTCAATGCCCTCGCAGCTTAGTAAAAGAAACCAATTACAATTAAGTTTCAGTGGCTTACAGGTGATTTCACAACATGAAACTAAATCCTAATTTTGTGGATGTGCAGTAGATCATCTGAGCATGTGACACCATTAACTAAATAATTAAGTAAAGTCTGTTAACATAGTTGTTTGTGGGCTATTAAATTAATAAGCTCCTTGTTTGACTTTTATATTCACTGTCTCTTACAATCAATGCAAAGAGTCTGACAATCCCAGAAAGCTGTTCAGCCTACCTATCTCAGAATCTCAGACCTGTACAGTAGGTGGGATATGCACAAGGACTATTGAGATTTTATCCAATTGTATGTAAACTGAACAATTTTCAACCGGAAGAGATGGGACAGGAAAAACATAGTAGGTTGTTGAATTATGCAATAGCAATGCAATGTGCAATACCATGAAACCCAATAGCTTTAATATGTCATTATATATATATATATTAATTCTAACTTTTATTAACTATTTTTTCGTGTCTTCAATATTTATTTTCTCATTCTATCACACATCTGCAGCTGTTTTGTTTTGTTGTTGTTGTTCCTTGCCATTCAGTATCAATAAAGTCTGAAGAAAATAATATTTGAGAAATCTGCATTACTGTTTCTTCCAGTATTCTCAAGCACTGTTAAAATGCACATACAGACACATACTTTCTTGTGAAACCCACTAAGCAAAAGTATAATTCTGGCCAGTATAAAAATAAAAATGCAAACAAAAAAAATATATTTTTTTCCTTAACAAAAAAAAAAAATTAAACTCAGCAAAGAGTAACATTTTTCTGCAACTCTTTTGTCAATATTACAATTTTTTGTCTACTTTTAAAATAAATTGTTGAAGTTGAGGCAAATGCACAAAATTAATCATGATTCTTTCTGATTCATTGTCTCTTTACAAAATATTTACCAGATGGTGTCTGTAAGTGATTTACAGACTAAGTATTTCATGGAAGCTGATCAGTTAAGTGATCCTTTACTCACTACCCTTCATTTATGTTCAATTGCCTATGATAGGATTTATTTTCCTCACTTAAGGTATCAACAATATGTAAGTCAGAATCTGAGAAAGTCCCCAGGTTTCCCTTCTAGTTGGTGGAGTAAAATGGGCACTTACAGAGCACTGATCATGCTGACCTAGCATAAATGTCTGATATATGTAAGAAAAGTGATATCTTAAAAGTATGTATTTCTTCATTTAACCATAAGGCAAGCTGATGAGGATGATTGGCTCCATTGTAGATGTCTACAAAACCTTTGGGTCAGGTATGAAGAATTCCTATACCACTTCAAAATTTTACAGTTGACATCATGTCTTTTTAGCCACATAGCTAAAAGCAATTTTTTTGAAAGTGATAAGCAACTAGTAATACACAATAGTGTAACTGTAAAATGAGTTTTCCTAAGTACCACATTAAAAAAAAAAAAAAAAAAAAAAGTGAAAGTTATAAAAGAAAAACTTAGATTCTGAATACATTTAGAATTTCTGGTTTAATGCAGTCTGAGTGGTTTGACAAAAATCAAATTTCTGCTTACTTCCTGTGTGAACGTAGTTGCATTTAGACAAAGCAGTTCTCATGGGCCAATGTTTGGTTGAAGCAAGGTGTAAAGTGCATAAACAATGTATCCTGTCACTATTTTAGATGGTGATTAAACTCAGTTGGTTAACTAGAACTGGCATATACAACGTATACAAGTCAGATGAGTCAACTGACAATTTTTTCTGAATTAGTTTATACTGACCATACACACTGAAATTTCATGTCTATTTTCTTATGTATTTGATATAAATATTAAACAAAGGGAATATAGAAAAGCAAAAGGAATATAGAAAATTATACATAATTGACATTTAAAATGAATGTAAGATCCACAAGATATGAAAGTGTGGACAACTGTGTCTACATTTATTTTAAAAGACACCCTCTATTACAATATGCTAAAAGTTTTTTACTACTGTGTGTCAGTTATTTATCCTTCTAAAAAATGTTTCAACTTTATAAGAATACCCTACTCACTTGCCATTTAACGCTGCTACTCCAACAGTGCTTCTGGCAATTGACATACTTGCCACAAATGTCCACTGCTGACTTTGAGGGTCCCACCTCTCAACTGTATTCAAATAGCTCCAACCATCATGGCCTCCTACTGCATAAATAGGCCCTTCAAGAACTGTAACTCCTAAAATGAAGGAGAGAGTGAGAGAAGGTAAAAGTATTCTTTTTCTAGCAATAATAATAATCAAAAAATGTTTTTGATAGCAGCTATGCATAAACTTGCATATTCAAAGTAAAAATGGAAACACCAATTTCAATTTTTATTAATTAAGAATTAACAAATAAGAATAAAATGAATGCCAATCAACAGGGCTTTATGAAGGTCTTGTCAAACAAACAATTTCATTCTTTGAGAAGACCATTTGCTTCATAGAATAAACAGTCAATGATGTGAAAGTCTTAGATTTCTGTAACTTGTTTGACATTGTAAACTGCTTCATCATTTTTCCTTATGAAGACTTTCTTTAAGAAAATAAATGACAACTACAGACAATGGGAAACTTCACAGGACAATAATGTTGGATATATAAGGGTTATTTTATCTAGTGAAGAAAGGAGAAAAAAAGCAAAGTATGAAAGCTGAAGTAGGAAAAAAAAAATAACGAAGAGACAAATTTTTAACTAGAGCTGTTTAAAATCAACAGTTCAAAGGAACTGATGAATTCTCACGGTATCTTCAGTTAAGCTTAGAAGGCTCTGGTAAATATGACAGAGCTAAGCAGCATTTGTTACAATACAGTGAGCTTAGGAACCCCCCCAAGGATATTCAGCATTCTATGAATCCCCAGTCCCAAATAAGTATTATTCTGGAAATCTTAGGCTAAATTCTATCCTACTCATAAACCAGTGTGTTTTTTATTTATTTATCTATTTTATTTATTTATTTATTTATATATTTTTATTTTGCTCCATTTCACATAATTTGAACTCCTTATAAAGTGAGAAAACTGTAGATTATTAAAGTTTCAGAGAGTGGAAAACATATTAACATACTGTGGAAAAAAGAATATGTTTAAAAAAAAATAGTTAAGTTAAAAAAAAAAAAGTAAAGCTTCCTTTTTTTAAGTAGAACTGTTTTTTTCTACTTCAGAACAGACATTAATTCAAAGGTTAATTTGTACATCTATATATATATTATTTATATAACGCAGTTTAAAAGTATATTTATTAATGAGCTTGAATAACTGTCATCCTGATGTTCGCAGTAACTTATTCCTGTAGTTTCTTTTTAAATTAGACAAGTACTTAAAAAAACTACTAGCCCTTACTGAAACATTACTATTTATAAAGTGTGAATCAAGTCTTTTTCTGTAGAATCTTCAGTGATCTCATTCTCCAATTTCATATGGTCCAAGCAGTCTTGAAAAAAATTTTTAGTTCAATGTTTCATCTATAATTTTACCAGAATATTAAAGCATATATTTAATTTTATTTATGATGTATGTAGCTCAATATCTCATCTCAGAAAGCAAGCAGCAGCAATCATGTAAGATATATTTGTGATTGTACAGAAAAACAGGAGAAGATATTCTGCAGTTGTTGATTTTTTTCTTCTTACCCTAATCATTGAATTATCTATGTTGGATAAGACCTTCAAGATCATCAAGCCCAACCATTAACCTGACCTACTGAGTAACAACACTAAACTTTGTCCCTTAGTGCCACATCTACAAGTCACTTGAATACCTCTGGGGTGGGGACTCCACCACTTCCCTGGGCAACCTGTTCCAATGCATGGCAACTCTCTCTGTGAAGAAATTCTTCTCAATGTCCAATCTAAACCTCCCCTGATGCAACTTGACAACATTTCCTTGCATCCAATCGCTTGTTACCTGAGAAAAGAGATCAACACCCTCATCACTGCAACCTCCTCTCAGGTAGTTGTAGAGAGTGATGAAGTCTTCCTTCAGCCTCCTCTTCTCCAGACTAAACAACCTCAGTTCCCTCAGCCTCGTAACATCTGTTTTCTATTCCCTTCAGCTTTATTGCTCATCTCTGCACACACTCAAGCAGCTCAATATCCTTCTTGTAGTGAGGGGCCCAAAACTGAACACACTGCTCAAAGTGTGGTCTTACCATTGCCACCTAGAAGGGTACAATGATTTCCCTGGTTCTGCTGGCCACACTACTTCTGATACCAATCAGAATGCCATTAGCCTTCTTGTCCACCTGGGCATGCTGCTGGCTCATGATCAGTTAGCTGTTGACCAGCTCCCCCAGGTCCTTTTCTAATGAGGAACTTTGCAGCCTCTCTTCACCAAGCCTATACTGCTGGATGGGGTTATTCTTACCCAAGTGCAGGACCCAGCACTTACCCTTGTTCAATGTCATGCAATTGGACACAGCCACATCCATCAAGGCTACCCAGATCTCTTTGCAAAGCCTTCCTAGCCTTCCTACCCTGAGTTAGTCCCAGCTAACTCAGTATCATCTGTAAACTTACTATGGTTGCACTTGATCCACTCATCCAAATCACTGAAAAAAATGTTGAACAAACTTGGCACTAAGACTGACCCGTGGGGGATGCTACTGGTGACTGGTTGCCAACTGGATTTAATTCCATTCACCATGACTCTTTGAGTCCAGCCATCCAGCCTGTTCTTCGTCTAGTGAACCATATACCTTTCCAAGACATGAGTAGGCTGTTTATTCAGAAGAATGTTGTTGTAGATGATGTCAAACATTTTAATAAAATCAAGATAAGCAATATCTACAGCTTTCCCCTCATCTACTAAGCAGGGCATCTTGTCATAGAAGATAAGGTTAGTCAGGCAGAAATTTCTTTTCATAAACACAGGCTGGGTGCTAGTGATCACTCAGTTTTCCCTAAAAGTCATAAACATTCCCAGATGATGAACAACAAAGATTAAATCATCCAAAAAATATTTGCTACAGTTTATTATAACGATGCTGTACTGGGTCTAGCTGGAATGTTAACTTTCCCGGCAGCAGTGCAGTGCTGTACTCTGCACTTGTAGCTGGAACAGCAGTGTTATCACACCAGTGTTGTGTCTACTGCTGAGCAGTGCTGGCACAGCATCAGGCCTCTCTCTAACCCTTCTAGGGGGTGGGCAAAAAGTGAGAAGAGAAACATCACCAAGGCAGCTGACCTAAACCAACCAAAGGGATATTCCGTACCATGTGATGTCACACTCAGCAATAAAAGGTGGAAACAGGAAGAAGAGGGGAGGGGTGGGCTCTCATTGGGAAAACGTCGGTCCTCCTCCCGAACACCGGCTACGTGCGTTGAGGCCCTGCTTCAAGGACGTGGTCAATCATAGCTCATTTGTGGGAAGTAGAGAGTAATTTCTTTCCTCTGCACTTCCACATAGCCTTCATTTGTTTTGTTTGTTTGTTTTCCTCCTTTTTTTTTTCCTTTTCCCCCTCCCTTTTCCCCTTTCCCTTTTTATTTCCCTTTAGTTAAATTGTTTAATTCATAATAATCTTTCTTTAATTATTATTATTATTTCCCTTTAATTAAATTATCCTTATCTCAACCCGTGAGCTGTTCTTTGCTTTACTTCTCCCCCTCCTCATCTAAGGAGGGGGAGTGAGAGAGCAGTTGTGGTGTTTAGCTGCCCAGCAGAGTAAAACCACCACAGCAACCATTATATGGAAAATAGTCTTCACTGACTCTCCATGATTAGAACTTTACTTGGTTTATGCACATAAAACCCTGTAAGATGCACAATTCCTTCAGATTTTTTCCCAATGTCTATTACTTTGCATTTACCACCTGCTATTGTGTTACCAATTCAACTGTTTTTCAAAGCTCATTAGAGTATTCTCTTAACTTCTCTGATCTTATTGAATAACATCAACATATGTTGCTATCATGTACATTTCCATGTAAACTAATCTTACACTGACAGAGGGCAGTGTTGCAATTTTATGTTATAACAAAATAAAAATGCTGATTTGGTGTGAGATTTATGTCCTGCTCCTCTGCCAAATATATATATATAGTTACTGCTACACAGACGAAGAAATCAGAAAGTTTAATTTGCTTAAAAAAAATTACGTGGTGCAATAACAAATTGTCCGTTTTTGCCAGTTTGCATTGCTTCTGTAATAGGAAAAATTACTGTCAAAACTGTAGATAAATTATTCCTTCAATTCTTTCTAAAAGTAATCTTCTCTGTTGTTGTCTTACAGCATGTATAAACTTGCTGTGAGTTTTCATATTTAAGGTTCCTTCTTTACAGAATATCAAATGCAGTGGTATCCTTACATTTGCTCCATAACAACTGAGCCATTATGGCTCCTCGTGTTTTTAAAATATTAGACAGATTCTGCAAGATCAAATTTCATTCTGTTTTGGTTGTATTACATGTGAGGGCAAATAATTATTTTGCATTACTTAAATAAAATATACTGATGTTTAAAGCTAATAAGCAAATATAAAAAAAACATGGTGCTGCATTCCATTAGTTCCATAAAGTATTATCATGCTTTTTTTAAATGATTTGTGTCCTTTTAAAATTTTGCTTTGATATCTGAACATATTTGAGAAGCAAATTTCAAAATGGTACAGATTGAGAAACCTGTAGTCACAGCTGGTACCAACTAACTCTAATACACCCATGAAAATTAATGGATGCAGATGTGTTTGCAAAGAATGTAAACCACATGGAGAGGCAGAAAGAATTACACAAGAAACATTAAAAATCTGGAAAACCTGCTGCAAAATCAATGAGAGATGTAGGCTTTATCAACATATTATTTCCCATCATAGTGTATAAGTACCCATATAAAGAGATTTTATGATTTCTGCTACAAGAGATCTAATGACTGGAAATAGTTACCTGTTAAATTCAGGCTTAGGATAATATTCCATATTTTAACCAGTGAGGATATAGGATTTTTGGAATTGTGAACACAACAGTGTGATAGTTTCTGTGTTGCTTGAAGTTTTCATATCTACATTGATAGGATTTAGAAAGACATGTTCAAAGTATTTGAGAAAGTGAAATGACTGGGTGAAATTCAGCGGTCCTTTTGCAGAAAATCTACTGGCAGACTCACAGTCTATTGTGATCTACAGCAGTAGGTTCAAGCCATAAAATATATTATCCAGTATAAACCTGCTAAATTTGGGCATGAATATCGCACTCTCATTGGCTG